TTTTTTCAAAAAAACCCCCCCCCCCCCCCATACTATAGTCACCTGACTAGCCGTGTAGGCTCTGAAACACTACCAATAGTTACACAAATATTACACTAAGATCCAATTTAAGACTATAGCAAAAGAAAAAAAAATCACATTGAAAATAAGAAAAAGGATTTAACAAAGTTTGAGTCTTTTCCTTTGTACTTTTTGTTTTGTCATTTCTATTGCCTTCTTAAAAGACAAATCCAAGATGACGAATCAAAGATCAATATACAAATACCATATCAAGCATAGATGTAGACAGCCACTATGTACAAAATGCTTTAGGAAATAATAAGATCTATAAAATCAAACTAAAAGGGTACACTACAAATCGGCATAAAATAAACAAAACTAGCTAAATATGGGAAATTTAGACATTATGTTGCTCGAAATCTTCAAAAATGTCTCCTTCAAAAGTAATGCATTCTTGAAGGATCCGACAAGGGTGCGTGTCATTTATGGGGAGTCCCAACAACATAGCTTAAAACAAACAAAACTAGCTAAAAATTGGGGACTTAAGACATCTAGAAAGGTACACTTTGTATCTATGTTGCTCGGAATCTTCAAAAATATCGACGGGTGTGTGTGACGTATCTTCACAAGCACTGCATTTTTAAGGATCCAACACAGGTGCTGCATCATTTACAGAAAGTACTAGCAACATTGCTTAAAACAAATAAAACTAGCTAAAAACAGGGACTTTAGACATCTACAAAGGTACACTGAGAATCTATGCTGCTCGGAATCTTAAAAAATGTTGTCGGATCCTTCAAAAAAAATGCATTTTTAAAGAATCCGACAACACGGATGCAGCATCATTTATGGAGAGTCCGAGCAACATAGCTTAAAAAACAAACAAAAACTAGCTATAATATGAAATTTAGACAAATGGGGTGCCAAGAAACATAACAAAACATTACTTGTTCAAGAAATCTTGATCTACAACAGCTGAGATATCGAGTAATGGATTTCCCATGCCCAAAAGAATCCCATCGTACTCCATTGTTTTTATAAATTATATTTTTTCCTTGTGCTGCTGGGAGAAATTTCAGATCTTGAAGTAAGTAGGTGCAATTTTTGCGATGGAGTATATAAAGATAATGATTATATAGTACTACAAAAATAGTGTCGGCTGGTGAGTGATGAAGGGTTGTTGATGAAGTGTGTACCTACAACTTGGTGCTCTGTTTTTTTTTCCCTCAGATCTCAAGAATGTGAAAACTAGTGGGTGCAAATTAGCGGAATCAAATGGCTGGGTTAAGTTGAATTTAGACGGATAAAAAATACGGGTCATTGATCAGTCAAAAGATATCTGAATTGAAATGAGTTAAAATGTGAATCATTTATTTAAGGGATAATTTCAGAGACCTCTCTCCAGGTTTCACTCTATAACACTCGTCTCCCCCGTGGTTTTACGCTATTACGTCTACCTCCTTTTTTTCGTTTTCTTATAACAATTCTTTAAACCTATTTAAAATAAATATAAATTAATTTAGATTTGACAATTTTAGCTTTCTATATATTAATTTCTTCATATTAATAATTACTTTAAAAATAAATCATCACAAATAAATGATGAGGTGCAACAAATGAGGCTGATCCTCCCTTAATCAAAGGTCTTGAATTCGAGCTCTGAGTATAGAAAAATCCTTGATAGAAAGCGCTTCCCCCAAATGAAGTCCTACGCAACACGAATTCAAAATAGTGAGGTTCCAATGTGGATATCGAACACGGGGGCGTGGGAAAAAAATGATCTATCACCTCATCATCAATCAAGTCAAAAAGTGTAAATGATTCTTCAATGTATTTATATCTAGATTAAAGGAATGAGTTATTTACCATATTTTTTCCAAGAGCCTTCAACTATGGTACAGCAATTTTATTTTATTTTTGTATAGGTTGGTTATGTGCCTTTTAACTATGGTGTTATTTTCGAACTTTATATAATTTAGTTACTTTAAAAAGTCAGGTATACAAGAGTGTGACCTAATAGTCGATGATATTGGGAAGAAAGATCATGACAAATTCTTGGAATATTGTGAGTTGATCAAACATCACTAGTTACTTCATTGTAAATTCAGGTACATCATGGTTCTAAAAGTTGTTTTGGACACTCGAGTTTTACATGTCAAGAGTTGTTTTGAAAATTCACTATGAGCATTAGAACACTTGAAAATTCTTTTGGCTGATACCTGTCAAGAGTTGTTTTGGACACTCGAGTTTTACAACAAACAAGGTGACCTCATTGTTGAAGTAAACTTTCTTTTTTCTTTTCATTTTCATTTGTTTGTCATATGACATACAATGAGAGATGAACTATTCATATCTTAGTTCTCAACATGGTATATATTACAGTTTTAATTTTCTCATCTGTATAAGTAGCATTTATCCTTCTAATGAGCTAACTTTTGGGTCGTTTTAGATCCAAGATTCATTCTTTTACATGGTATCATAGTTAGACCTTAGACCCATTTCTATCCTTTAGTTAATTACTTGATGTTGAGTCCCCGTGTTACATTGTCCATCCTCCCGATGACTAGCACTCAGCATGCCTAGGATATTAAGATTGTCTCACATTGGTTGATGGAATGAGTTGTGGTCTGGTTATATGGTTTTGGAAAAATCCTCATGGAAGGCATTCCTAAAGATCAGCACATTGATGCTGAAATTAAACTAAGTGGCAAAGTGGAACTCCTCATTAAGATTCTTCAGGAGATCAAACAGCAAGGACAGAGTCCTAGTTCTTTCTGCTTTTACTACAAAATTTTCTTTCATTCTAGCTCCTGTGAATCGTATTTAATTTCTACCTGGTTTCTTACCAGTAGTATTAGCACTATTCTTGTAGTTTCTTGTTCTCCATTTTCTATTACCACCTGTGTTTTACGCTTAATTAATATCTAGCAACTCTGAGAACACAGTTGCTGTTCAAAGATATTGAAAGTAGAGAAGAATGGAAGGACTTATCCAAGTAACATATCTCTACTTGGTGAACTGGAAATGCGGATTCTTCTTTTGTAAGAGGATTGCTGGAGAATGAACCACCCCACGTATCTTTGATTATAACAAAGATAAATAACATCTCAAGCTCTCTTACTTTCGGAGTTTTGGGCTAAAATCATCTCTAAAATAGGGGCTAAACATAAGTTACATCCTTGTATTACCTCACTGAACAAAAACATCCCTGTACTAATAATTTTACATTTGTGATATTATGTGCAGGTCCTATACATTTGTGCGTACTCCGATAAGAAGTTACATAGGTGAAGAAGTCCAAGACTTCCAGTGTAAATATAAATATCTCTGTGCTTCTTAAACATGTCATGACATGACATTTTCATGATTATAGCAGTACTAAGTCTTGCCTGTCATTCTTTTTGAAACAAACTAAACAAGAATGAGTGATGTAATATTACGAGGGGGAGAATAAGCTGAAAAATTGCTCGATTGAGAAAACATTCCTCGATAAGAATTATTGATGAATGATAGTGTTATTGACAGGTCTTGTTATAAGTGAAACTAACTAACCTGATATAATGAGAAATTAACTTTCATAACTATTGTTTGATCTTAATAGTGGTTGGGAAATGGCTCTTCCTCCTCCTTAAGTGTTTGATCATATACTTGGATAAAACCTTGCCAGGTCTTGTTAGATTGACAGAATGTTCCGCTAATGACACTTGAAAAAACAGCTTCCAAGGTCTCGTTGCTTCGATGAATCACTTTAGTCCTAATTGTTTTAGTCCAACAAAATTGCCAGGCAAAGTCAGTCTGCATGTTGCACTTATAAACTACACTTTGTTCTTTCTTGAATTGAAACTTAGTTTAAGCACAAATTTCTGATGATCACTTCTGTATATATAGTTATGAACAAAAGACACCATTTTAATCCTGAAATATTTGAAATCCCCCAAGGTATCTCCGTTTGTACACCACAACTCTCATTTCTAAATAAGAGTAATGACAGCAAGCTTCATGGTCTGGTATGCTACTGACTCTGTTGCAACCAATTTGAGGGGAAAAAACTTATGCACACTCGATGTTTACATCTGGTTGAAAGTGTCTTAATTGCATATGTGAAGGAAACCTGATATTTGTTACACATTCAGCTATTAGTACCCAATACCCATTGTCGGTTTCAAACTCAAATGGAGGAGGGTTGCGATAAGTTGGCAGCCTGCTAAGCGTAAAACTTGTCAATTCATAGTGAATCCTCCTAATACAGAATGTTGGTGATATGAGTTGAGCTTAAATAGAAAAGTAAGGACTCATATAGCTAATCTCAACTTGTTTCGGCGGTTCTACTCTGCAATAAAGGAGAAAAGTTGAGGTAGATTGGAGCGCCAGCGTAAAACTTGTCAATTCATGATCGATCTTTCTTACCTAGAAAGATGATGACATGAGCTGAGCTGGACATGTTATAACAAGCATATCCAAGAAAAAAACAATGCCAAATCCAAGAGGATCTTTTTCACAGTTACTTCCTTTTTGTTGTTTCTGAAAACTGATGGAAGTTTACTTGTGAGTCCCTGCAATTGTTAGTGCTTTGAATAAAACAAGAAGAGCAACTTGATTGAACAGAAGAATTGAATAGACATAAGCACACTGTCACTTTTCATTTAAGTTTTTTACTGAAAAGAGACATATTCATCTTTAAGAGAGTTTAAACACTCTCTCAAGTTAACCAAAAAAGATGTAAGTTCACAACATATTATGATAGTAATTCACCATAAGAGTAAAAAAAGAATCTGAAAAATAGCACTAGACAAGCATTAACAACTGGTCCTTTATCTGGCAAACATTTAGCAGATTGGAAGAGGAGCACCATTCCAGCTCTTGAGACACTCCAACAATGGATCAATAATCTGTCCATTGCACATTGCTGTGAACACCTTGTCAATCTCCTCACCGGGCGATCGAACTTTTTCACCTGTCAACAGTTCTGATCCAAGTTCTTGTCTCACCAACCTGTACAATGGATATGATCTGCATTCTGTTATCCTGTTAGGAATTACAGGGTTGCCACTTTCAAGCATAGCTCTTGCACTCTCAACTTCTTTAGGCAACACAGCCTTCAATTCGTCCTCGAAAGCTACAATCTTTTGGAAGATTGAGCTGTTCACATTCTTCTCACTTTCACCATTCTTCATTGCATGATCAACAAGGACTTGTCTCAGCTTCTGCATCAAAGGGTAGGTTGAACTGCAGGGATCATCAGCATAGGCAAACACGTATTCCCTGTCCACGACTCGAAGCAATTCCTTCTCGCAGAATCTTGCAGGATGAAGTTCACCATTAGCACCCATTGTCAAAGTTCTCTTAGCTACTTGGCTCACTGTGTTCTTGACAGCATTCCTCAAGTTTTCCTCCAAATGCCTTAAGTCAATAGCTTGGCAAAGCGCCACGAGATAGGTTGATGACATTAGCTTCAAGATGTCAACAGCCTCAGCGGTTTTCCTTGCTGAGATTAAGCCCAATGAATTCACATCTTGGTTGTGTTGCTCAGCACTTTGGACATGGTTAGTCACTGGATTTGCCAAAAATTGAAGTTCCGAGCAGTAAGAAGCCATTGCAATTTCAGCTCCCTTGAGTCCATAGTCCAAGCTTGGATTCCTTCCTGCTGTGAGATTAGATGGCAGCCCATTGTTGTAATAGTCGTTGACAAGTTCCGAAAATTGGGCAAACATCAATTTCCCAATTGATGCAAGGGCCAATCTTGTATTATCCATGGAGACACCAATAGGGGTACCTTGGAAGTTGCCACCATGTAAGGCCTTGTTTCTTGAAACGTCGATCAATGGGTTGTCGTTCACTGAGTTAATCTCCCTCTCGATCATCTTAGTTGCTGCACGGATGACTTCAATTTGAGGGCCAAGCCACTGTGGAGATGTTCGGAGAGCATAACGATCTTGCTTTGGTTTTTGAAGAGGATCCCATTTCATGGAGCTTCTGAGCTGCCTTGACATAAGAGCTGCCATCCAAAATGTGTTCCATAATAGCAGCAGCCTCAATCTGACCAGGGTGATGCTTCAACTTG